TAAAAATTTATTTAGTGGTGTATTTATCACCCGTTCGATGTTTGCACAGTCGCGCATCAAAATTTATGTTCATTTCGTTTAATCGTTTTGCTCGTTTTTCATTTGTCTGATTTGGAATGTTGTAAAATAAATTGATGGCAAACAAGCAACCGAGCTAGCGAACGAATGAGCAAAGTGATAAGAGGAGTTACAGCAGAGAGAGAGCGAGAGAGCAAGAGAGAGGAGGAGGAAGCAAAGCGAACGGGGTTTGTGTAGCCAGCTTGTCTATATATGCTTGCGATATATTTTGATGCGAAAGAGATGCAGATGTTTGGTTTTGGATTGCGGTTTACGTCATTTGATACCTCACAAAGTGTTAAAATGTGCTTATGCAGTAGTTTCTAGTATTTAAACATCAATGAGCTCGAAAAAGCATATGGTTTATCGTGTGCATGTGTATGACTTTAAATTGAAACATGTGTCAATTTGATCGTCTTTATCGTATATTTCGGAAAAGTGTGCAAGAGAATGAAGGAGAGTAAAATGGACCAATTGAAAAATATATGTGTGTTTTTGAACATAAAATCATCATTTATCTATCGTCAGTTTTCCACCGAAATTCATTCGATTACGTTGATTTTCAGCAAGTTTTTTTTTTTCAATACCATTTTTTTTTATTCGTCGGTTTTTGAATCAAGTTTCGAATTTTGTTGTATCAAGGCGCTGCCAAATGCGCAACTCTTACTCAGCAAAAGTCTCTCTGTGTGATGTGTGTTGCTTGTGCGAAAAACACTGTACTACAAAATCGACGAGATAAACAGACGCTGGTTTTTTATCTATATATTTAAGTTTTTTGCTTTTGCATTTCAGCATGATTTTGAAGCACTTGTAAATTATATGCACTAGTGAATTTTGGAGAAAGGTTTGTGATAGAATAATGAAAAAAAATGCGGCGAAGGCAGTAAACGCAAGCATAAATTGGGAAGGCGAGCAAATGTGCGCACATCTTGTCTATTGGCGAACATCATCACGACCACCGGATTAATTTTTTGGTGTAATTGAGCATGAAACTTGTGTAATGCACCGAGTAATACAGCGTGTAGCAGTGAGCAAAAGCAAACTGCGTCTCACAATGCTTTTTTTTATGTATGTTTGCATTTTTTCATTCTCCGCTCTATCGATCTAGCTCCTTCTCACTGTGTGTCTCTCTTTGATTTAAGCACACTTTTGCCGTTATCTTCATTTTGTACCATCATATGTAGATTTGTATTTCCTGTCATGTGGAAGACAGGGCGAAAACGACATAGAGAAGACATAAAATGCAAAACAATAACACAAAATGAGTATCTAAATAAATCAGTTATTATGCGTTGCTCATATGAAATGGCAAAAGAAAAATGCTCTTGATTGCTTGTTCTATGTTCATGTGATTCATGTTATGAGTAATGAAAAGTGACTGCTTCATGGCCAGGTATGACAACGACCACCAATCACATCATCAGATTGTGTGCAACAAATATTCAAATTGGTTTGCTGTGTAACATCAGAATGCAAAGACGTCACAATGGATGCAAAGACGTCAAAAGGATAAACGTATAATTGCCATTGTTGTTGCATCTGTGCAATTTTTGAAGATTGCGTCAGAGAAAGCCGCCTGAGTAATGAGCAACATAGGAGCAGTATGTAATGAAACAGTCTAGTTGATACAACACATTTGTGTATACGGATCTGTGTTTCTTTTACCAAATTAATGAAAGCATAACGTCTTATAAACTTATAAATGAAATTTCAGGTTTGTGTTCATTGTCACAGTGTGTGTGTATGTACTGTCACTGCCACTTGTTTTACTGTGCATATGCTCAACACATACTTCATTTAATCCGTATATTCAACAATCTAATAAGCATCGAGCACAGAACCAACAAACATGATATATGTAGGCGAACTGTACCGAAATAAATCTGACAACGTCAAAAAGTCTGCAGCATCATAAAATGCTTATGGTATTTGGTTTAACATAACAATCATATTATTTACGCCACATTTTCTACATACTCATACATTTCTTAAGACATTTTCATCAAGAGAATAAAGTTAAAAGAGCGATGGACAGTCAAAGCGAGAACAACAGTGTCTCTCTCTCTCTCTCACTCTGTGTGTGTTTGTGTGCTGTTCATACCGAAAACAATAAGATCGAAAAAATGAACACAAATGCCACTTTAATGGTGTGTGGATGCTTTATTACCGCATCCATGGTTTTCATTTAACATAAATTCAACAACCTTGCATCCTATCCAAAATAATATTTTGCATTTCGACAGGAGCAAACATAGCGAGTGAAAAGAAATAAAAAAAAACAGTCTGTTATTTATTATATGCTCACAACATAATCGCCTCGACAAACGTTAAACGCTGAGAAAATCAATGTCCAAAAAAACTGAACGAACAATTAAATGCGCAACAAAAAACACAGACGTTTCTTTATTGTTTTTTATTTCTTCATTGGTGCTCATTCAATATTTGAGCGAGCATTTCTGTTTGGCTGTGTTTATTTTATGCTTTTATTTTTATTTTATTTTTGAATGCACGCCTGGACGGTGGTTCAAGCATTTCCCATTTTTCTTCATTTCGAACTTCAACAACATTGTGTATGATTGCAACCACAGTAAACCACAGTTGAATCCACTTAATGCCAATGAAGACATTTTATGTATTTTCCCAGCCATATCCAAGCGAAAGAGTGTCGGAATATATGGATCCAAGGGTCTTGTATACGATGCTATACATACATTGTGAAATCTCAGCAAACTTCCAGTACTTGTACTGAAGATGACAACGACGGCATGGTTTATGTTTTCTCTTATGTGAAACATGTAACCGTCACCAATGTTCATTTCGTGTGTGTGTGCGTCTGCATCACTTTCATACATTTTGTGCAAGTGTGAAATATTTCCACGCATTTGCCGTTCTACTAAACGTGTCTTTTTTATAGGAATTCAATAGCATTGTCTTACTGTATTTGGTGGTGGTGTTCTTGATGCGTTACATCTTCCAAAGAGGACTTTTACCCATTCAAAAAGGATTTGTGACAATGGTATTTTTTCTCATAATTCATAAAATCGCGATGGCCACTTTGTTCATCTCACACGTTTTTCCGTTGTTTTCTTTGAATTAATCTTGATGATTAAAGAAGATGAAGAAAGACTATAAGGATGTAGAAGAATAAATTTCCTGCCATTGTCTTCGTTGATCTTTTGAAATTGATAACAAAGCAAGTTCATTTGCTTATAAGTGAATTTACACAATCATAAGCCAAAAAATTTGTTTTAACCACGTTCAAAATTAATTCAATGTACATCTCGTAATTAAAAGTGTTTAAATTATGCAAAATGAAAGAAATTTCTTTTCTCTGCATGCTCTGATATCATGCGGCAGAAATGAAGCAAATGTTATTATATAACAATTGAGACCAAAGAAAAAGATTGACGTTTGCATTTTTTTATATGAACAAAAAAACAGCAACAACAAAATCCAGTTTTTAAAAAGCTTTCATATTTTGTTAGAGAGTATATTATCTTGACAAAGGGAAAAATATGCACACACACACAAACACAAAAGAAAAATCACATTATAATGGGATAAAATAAGGTTAATCATACCATTTAACTTCATTGTTTAATCCCGGCAGCTAAACGACATGACTTGAGAGAGTAAAAATTGATGATAATGATAAAGACGATGATGAAGAAGGATGAAGCGATTTCTTGAAACTAAAAGTTTGCGAGGATCTCAATTGATATCGTTGTTTATCACAATGTAGATTTATTTTCATCGCATTTTTTGCTCTTTAACTTTTACTCCTTTCTTACTTTTGGTTCTTTCATATTTTGGCCAGTTTTTTTAAACCATCTCACGCATTTTCCCCTTTTACTCTCTCACTCTTTCTCTTTCTTTCTCTATCTCTCTCTCTCTCTCTTTTACTGAACACGTAATTTACACAAATGTCAAATGGTAGAATTTTTTTTTTAGTTTTCCCATAAAGAAAGCGTTGTGTATGCGACAAAAAGCGACCCAAGAAAACCGAGTAATGCTCAAGTTCTCTTCGGTGCATTCAATTGCATAAGTTGAAAGAAATGAATTGTGAAAGAATGAGTGAGAAATAATGCAATGAAAAAGAAGCGAAAAATTTAACGTGAGATCAAAAACTGAACGCAGTGTATCCAGCTGTTCAAACTCAACTGATTATATGCACGATAAGTGGATGAACACTTATGAAAACTCTCGGCAAAAGAAAAGAGCTTTTATTTGTGATAGCTATTTCAATTCGTGCAAAAGCAGCACGTAGACGATAGTTTGCACCGACACCCATACATTTCTAATAAGAACGAAAGATGTGTTTGAGAGTGTACGACTACACGGTTATTCCAAGGAAGAAGAAAAAAAAATGCTTACGCACTTGAGATCGAATAAAAATGGTTGTGAAAGCCCCAGAAAGGACTGAACTGTTGTTTGAAAGCGAACTATCGCAAGCGAGCGCCCCACACAAATACAGACACACACACGTATGCGGATCAACTATGTAATTACGGAAATCGTTGTCAAAGTTGAGCTATATTAAAGAACTTAGAAGCTCATTAATGCTGTGAACCAAAAAGAAAGTCATATAGTCTATAAAGAGAAATCACAAAATGTTTACTTGTGCAATAAAATTCGTTTAAACGAAACTTTCAGTGTGAAAGTTTTCACAGTTATAATGAGAGAGAAAATGAAAACAAAATTGTATATAACAACAAATCGAAACCGGAAACATTGCTATTTATAGTTACATTTGAATTATTTAACACAATAGATAGAGCCTGTTTGTGAACCAATTTATGTGTATCAGATGTTTGAAATGAATTTGCGCAGCATGAAGTCAATTACATTTTTCAACTGGAAACGGCAATTATTTCACATAAAAATTTATGCATGTCTCTATCATTTCGGGAACGAAACAGAATAAAAAAAATCGAATCACTTACCTGGACTTGTTTGCCAACTCAGTCCGCCAATAAACATTTTCCTGCGAAAAAAAAAGAGGACAACATTTATTTTATTAATTATTATCATTCTTTGCAATGAATTCCATTTTAAAATCAATATTGTTAAAAGCGTGTGCAGTTAACAGAATAAAACGACCACGCCATTTGAAACAATGCATTTTAAAAAACGACTACACTCGTTTTTATTTCGATGTTGTAATTTCATTGGAATATGAATCGAATCAATTGATTGGACGTTGAAACTTTTCTCTTAAGTACACTTTGGCGCATATATAAAATGTGAATATTTCGTTTCATTCGAAAATCCCATTTAATTTAATGAATTTTCGAAATGTGCATGATAATTTTTCGCACAACTTTATTTCAAGTACATTGTTATATGAATATTTACACCCATTGATTGGAAGTGCAAATTGAATGTTTATATGAACGTTCTTCTTGTTTTTCGGATTGTCGGCATTTTCCATTTACCATCCTAATTTTAACAACAAAACGAGAACCAAAGTGCACAAAGAACACACAACAAAAAAAAAAGAAGCTCTAGACGAAAGACGCTACAAGTGACGACAATTTCATTTGCATGGTTGAATAAATGTGGATTTCGTCGTTCTTTTTCGGATTTCCAAACAAAATGAGTATACAAAACTTTGTGGCATTTCATTCCACCTTTTTTCATTTAATTTGATTTACATAATATTATTATTTGGCTCATTAGTAGACGATGTGCCTAGATTTTTTCATTCGGTGCTCAGCATTCACATTATTTGCTCAGTGGCAACATATTTTTCAGTATTTACATAGGAAGCATAACCATTCGTTAGCTAAACATCCAAGCATACACTGATAATTTTACGTCATGAGAGTGCATAAGTTGGAATGAGCTGCAAATTAATATTTTTTAGTCCGACCTGGTTGGACTGCAAATAGAGACTAAATCCTTTGGGATGAGCGATCCTATTATTTTTGGCCAATTTTTTTAAATCAAAATAGCAGCAACAACAACAAACGTGAAAAATCGATCGAAAGTTTTTACGTTTATAATATTTCATTCAAAATAAAAATAGCAAGTCATCTTTATTAGCTCAACTATTAGTATTGCATATCCAGCAATTGAACAAACTGTAATTGTTTTATTTTTCTGCTCTGGCCATATCCATATTGCTTTGATCAGTCTATGCATTTCGGATGGATATCTATCCGCGATATTCTAGAATATCTCGATATTTAACGCAACTGCACACAAACAGAGCTGTGTGTATCAAATGCTGCACGTACACAGTCAGACTGTATCTGTTGTATTTTTCGTGCGGCACTTGATACACATATTCGTATCGACATACCATAGATTCTTTGTGCGATGCACACAACTCTGGCTCTGGCGTTAAATATCGCGAATTGATATCGATCCGAAATATATAGACTGGCTCTGGCCGGAATGCCATGCATTGTGATGTAAATTGTGATTCGCTTTTGTGTCAAAACCTGATAAATTACGAATAAAATTGAAGGTCGAAATCAGTATGATCTCATATATTAAGCATATTATCATTTGACTATGAATTTTAATTGTTAGTGTGAAATTTGGTGACAGCGCCACTGTGAACATGCATTGGTAATAAAAATAGCATACCCTGAATTCGGTTGAAGTATGACTATCATACTACCTGTAAATTTATGCATGCCACCCCACTGCTGTGGTGGCTCGCTCGTGAAACAGTTTTTTATGAGACAATTTCATGAAAATTAAATGTAACACTTGATAATTTTATTAAAATTACAATCCATCATCACAGTTGGGTCCCATTGGCTGTTTCGGTTCGGTTTGGCTTCGTTCGTGTGTTCATTCAATGTTCCGACGAGATAGGGGTGCAACAGAATCAAAAATCACTGAAGCAATCATTTAGAAGAAGGAAATTACATTTATGCACTAATCAACTAAACGCACGTGTTAATGGACAAACTGTAAACGGTATCGATAATAAAATGATGGAGATTCAAAGTGTTTGAATTTAATTTGAAGCGAGAGGCGGAGTGGTCTATCATCTCACTTTATCATGTTTATGTTCACTTGCATTTGCATTCATTTCAATTTAAATTCTCAATAAATCGTATTTCTTGGAAATGCACACACATACACACAAATCGTTTGACTTTTGCAAAGTAAATTCCACTTCAATGTGATAGTAATCATTTGAAAACGGAATATTAAGTCGGCTGGAAGGAAAACAATAAGACGTGACTTTAACTAAGAGTCGATGTTAACATTTATATACGCTTCGAATGTCTCTCCCGATAAAATGCGGAGTTAATGAGTTCAACATTTTTTTACGGCGATTTAACGATGAACTTTCTTACCAAAGACAAACTGTAGTAGTTTTGTATACTCTATTTTAAGTGTGCCCGAGCATTTCAAACATGATTAATACCGACTCAAATGGGTTTTTGTCATAAAAAAGTTACTCATGCCAAACGTTTAAAAGGAGCACACGCGAACATTCAAAATACAAATGCTCGATTCGAATTTTAGCAGCCAAATGAAAAATGTGCAGTGCAGTGCAGGTACCCGAATGATGATTTCACTTGTTCAAATCACACGACCGAAATAATCGCCATAAGAATATTTTGTTCAATGAAATTAACGATGCCAAACAAACAATTTCATTGATGAACATTTCATACATTCATTGTTTTGTAATGTACACGTCGCACACATTTTAATTTCATGCAAACGTTTTTTTTTTCAGTTTAGGATACATGGTAATTTACACGTTTCTCTGTAAAAATTGCAACTTTAAAATGTAAATTGCACGCGGCAAAAATTTATTTTGACCTAATCATCATTAATAACTGTCGCAAATTGTATAGTTTATTACATACACATGCGCTTATGTTGAACGAATCACACTAAAATCTATTCGTAGCATTTGTGTCTTCAATTATAAGTCTTAGCTTCATGATCGTTCAAAGAAATTCAGTGCATCGCATCGTATCATTGGCTTTGGTAATAAAATTGTATTTGCATTAGCTTTTTTGTTGATATTATATGAATTTATCAATTAATTAATTCTATTTCATGTCAATCCAATATCGCAAATATAGTAGCAGCTCTTGAAAATTTTGTCGAATTGTCGAAATTATTCCATAACAATGCTTCATTTTTAACAATTTTTGGTTCAACAATGCTGAATGCTGAATGTTTCTCATCAAACGTACAGTAATCAAACAATGTATTTTGATGTGGTTACGATATAATTTTCTATTAGAAAACGTTCTGCATTTACACTGATTTTCAAAACTTTAAATCTAATGATTTTGCATACAAATTGGATACCCTTTTTTGCAGTGTTTAAACTATTTTCCGTTTTTCGATGAATTAAATTGATGGAATAAATTGAATTAAAATGTTTGTTTATGTGCCTCATGTAAATTAAATTGGCAAAGTTTGCGCGTGGTAATTGCATGTATCTGAGATGCTTTTCATTTTCATAGAAAATAATAATATATTTTGATTAGAATTTTTTTTCCATAATACTTTGTTAACATAATCTAGATGCCGAAAATTCAATTGACTAAATACGCTGGAAACTTTTGAACGGCAATGTATGTATGGAATATGAAGTGACTGGGACATCATGATATATTTTCAAATCGACGAAATGTCGATTGAATAAATTCTATCCTTCAAATCGTTGGGGTTCGAGCTATATTTTTGAATACGGATTATAATCGTATCAGTACCAACGGCATATACATGTCGATATTGAATGTGATGCGTTAAAAGTGGGTAAGATTTTGATCCAAATCAATTTCATGTTTGACCATTAAGTTTTCATTGAAGTGGAAAAGCTTCGATTTTCCAAAACATTTTCAATTATTTCAAAATAATTGATTGTGATGTGTGTGTGTGTGTGTGTATGCATGATTTTTTGATGACCATTGGAAAGAATGGAGGAGCACTTGTGTTATATTTTCCATGTTTGAATGAAATTTTAATATAGCTAATTTTCACATCGTGATTTTGCTGAAATTTTACATTGCACGCACACATACATCTATTATGGCAAAACGATAAGTGCAATAACCAGAAAACGAGCATGTATTTGGTATGAATGTCTGATTCAACAACAATAATAATTATAATAATAATATTAATATGAAGAAGAAAAAAAGTGTGTGTTGTTCATGCTGTATTATAGTGAGCAAGCCATATAGCAGCAGTATGGCATTCATGGTAGAGGTGTGAACATCTATGCATACCGGCTATTTGCATATATAAATGTTCTCGAAAAATCAAATGAAATTTATGTGATATTTTAACACCTGCTGCTAATGACGATGGCGGAACGTGCAATATTAATAATGAAATTTGTTTAAATATGAGATTTTTGCTCTACAGCACATTTTTTTTTCATTCGTTCATAATTTCACGGTTTAGAGTGAGCATCAATAACGAAAAAGACAAAAACGAAGAGAGAGAGAGAGAATAATGTTCGAAAAATAGTCCACATATATTGCTGTCATTCTGTTCTCAAACACAAATAAATTAAACAAATCAATTATTAAATGTTATCAACAAAATTAAAATCATTATTTTGTATCGGATTTTTCTATAATTGTAAACTATTCGAACTGAAGATAAATAAAATTAATTATTGCGAAGAAAAAATCATCGCTCCATTTTTGGAATTTCATTTCAAAAAAAAAAAAAAACGTTTGACACAAATTAAGGTAAAAAACTGATTTCATTTCGATTGAAATAAAATTTTGTGATAAAAAAATCAATGAACGACAAAGATAAAATGTGTTATGAAATCGATTTCGCTTATTGCCAATGGGTATTTACTGTTTATAATCTGATGTTTATATTTTGCGTATAATCACTTTAAATCGGTTAAAATATCATTGTTGCTTGTTATTTTAATTTCCATTTTAGCTGTACGCCGCAACAATATTGAACTATGTAAATCTATAGATATCTATGTTTGTGGCGTTCATCGCGTTCTTAATATGTATTGTCTAC